ATGACAGATTTTTCTACTGGAAATACATCATAAAATTTGCATTATTCTCCATTTTCATTGCAAAACCATTCATCTAGACTCTCACTACTTTATATTTTTACTACAACAAACTAGGTTTCTACACACTTCTTCCCTTTCCCATCACAGGGTCTAAATTGCTGCCATAAAAATTGACTTTCCATGTCTGTAAGTCTGACTAAGAAAGGTTCCTTTTCAAATTCTTTCCTTTACTTCCTCTTAAGTCTCCACACCAAATGTCAAAGATTGCAAGAACTAATTCCAGTAAGTCTCTTCGCTCTAGCTTTTTGCTCATAACTTCAGCCTAAGTCACACATGGTTTACCACCACTCTCATTTTCGGGACATTCTCCAAGAAGCCAAGTCTGGCATTCCTCTATCCTTTCTTTCAATCCTTCTTCAAAACAAACTCTTCCAGGCAGCATCCAAATCTTAATATTTCCCATAATAAAGTGGTAGTTGAAGAGATGACAAGGATGTAAAATATTTGACCAACGTTTTCTTAATATTGGGAGCCAGACTTCAGTTTAGTATGCTAGCTTTATAAACACACAATACCACTTTCTCTGGCATCCACTTCTACTGAATGTAAGCTTTCATTTTCAGGAGTTCCATCTAAACATCTTTCTTGTGACTGTAGCTTTCTAAACGCAAACTGAGACAGCGTTCTCCTGGATTTTGTACACAGCTTCCACGCCCAGACTACTGTGAGATGACAAAGAGGTAGACTTCTCATATCTACCCCTATTCCAAATAACCTTGCACACATGGACTGTGAAAATAACTTCTGTCTTTACAGAGGGCCCTTCACAGTGCAAACTATTACTCTTTTTTCCAAATTGTCAGCTGGGACAAATGCATAATAGATTTTGCATGTTTGCTTCAATTAGTCGAATTGTACTTTTCAAAATTACTAACTGAAGCCTGATTTACAATGCTTATTATAACATAACATACATAAATATACTTTTCCACATTTTAAACAGAAATGAACATATAATATTAAAAAAAAATCCCTTCTAAATAGAATCAATGATTAATTGCCACTTTTCTCCAGTAACTATGTTTCTACATAAAGTTAGATAAGTAATGAGACTAATTTTGTAGTGGCTGCTCAGTGGCTGCTCAGGCTACATGTAAAGTTGAAACAATTTTGCTTACTATGAAAACTTGTGACCCCTGCAGTCACCCAGGACTGGCTACTTTACAGTCCTTTTGTCCTATTTTTATCTCCTGACCTGTCTTTTCGGTTAATACTTTTTGTTCATTTACGTTTTTAAACATCCAGAACACAAGACGTCTTCAGATGATGAATTTAAAGTCAGCACATATCGACAGAAAGACATTGCAAACCAAAGGCTGTAGAAAACCCTCAGCAAAGGGGTTTGTGGATTCAGTCTATCACCTAACAAACATGTGGACACATTTCAAGAATCTGCCTCGATTTTGGCAGCTCTTTTCACTATATCAAAACTCAAAAGTGAATGTCCACTGCTTTAAAGGCTTCCTGTACAGATGGGGTTAGAGGGTTTCCTCAGCAGAACCTCTACCATGTTGCATACTCTCTAATTCTCTTATGAACACAAGATTTCACATTCTGAAAAAAAAGTTAAGTAGAAACCTAATACAAACCACACATTAATGTAAAACTTGAAAAACATTCCTGAATTGTGAATCATCCATGCTCCCTTTAACTTCTGCACTGTGAATTTTGCATTTTCTAGTCTGGCTTTACTAAGACCAAATATTTGTTTGTGTTCTAGACTAACATGATCAGTCTTTACAACATAAGCCACAAGGCTATTTTCATTTAAATCACCTGCACCATATATGCCAGTGCCTTTAAATATTTTCTATCCAATAAAATCTAAAATCACAAGTTTAAAATACTCCATTGTTGAAAACTAGTCTAATGCTGGAATTTCACTATGTGCACTATAGACTTGGCTATGTACAGTTTATCTAGTCTCTACAGACAGCAAAACGATTACTACATTAACATAGTCTGGACATGGGTAATAAGAAACGTGTCTTTAAAATTAGTTCTACACATGCATTTTTATTAGAACAATAAAATCCAGTTAGAGAGTCAGGATACTTTAATACTCAAAGCTGTTCTGTCTCTTCAAAGTCACTTCTGCCTTCCATTTTCCACATTACTCATGGATACGGTGCATTGATGATGTTGGATGAAGTCTACAATTACATATTTTTAAAAATTCTGCAAGTAGCATGGGTTTCTTATTTAAACCATATATCCTTGAACAAACTTTAAACAGCATCACATAATTTGCAAACCAATATCTTTCGTCCTTATAAAGCACTAATAACACTAAAAGTAGGTAACACTTTCAGAAAAACTTTAAAGTAAAACCCCCATGTAAATGGTAGTTGTTAGTTAAACACCAAGTAAGACTTCTATACAAGGCTATTTTGTATATATATTACTTGGTTTCTCTCAATTTCTGGATTCAACCTAGGCACAAAACTACAACTGTGATAGACCTAAAATGCAATACTGGTTTTTTTCTCATGTATCAACATCACCTATTCGGGCCAATTTTCAGGATAAATAGGAGAGGACTGATATATCTTGGACAAGGAATGTCATTAGAATGGAAAACAAATTCAGAATCTTTGCTTGTTCTCCTGCAATGAGGCCATTAGTGCCCATTTTAATACCTGACACAAAAGCAATCCACCTATCTTGAAAAGGTAAAAAGTAAATTTTTTTTTCCCACAAACGAACAATTTTCTACTACAATCATTTAAAGTAATTCTACATTATTTAACTGGTTTTATATGCACTTCGGGAACACAAATTATAAAACATCTAACATTTTTCTTCTAGGGATAGATAAATACACCTACACTACTCTAAGAGGATCGACAGTAATTCATACTTACAAAGTCAAACTTTCAAGAAATTAGGGTAGGGAATATGAATCCTACTCTTTGCTCCCTCTGAAACATATTGTATCTGTTAATGTCAGGCAGGCCAACACAGCTTCACAACATAAGGCCTCCTGACCAGATTTAGCCCAAAGTACCAGCCATATAGCTCACAGGAGTTTCCAGATTCCCAGGAGGTTCACAAGCTCTCCTATTCCATGTGACAAGATACATATCCATCACATGAATAAAATCATAGATGCTTCTCCAGCCATGTAATAAGAGTGTGCCTGACTATGCTTGTATACTTGCTCACACTGACATAAGGTCTTCCCAGGGTGGTGAGGGGATGTATGCCTGCCTGATACTTTTCTCTCCCATGATGGTCAACTCTCAACTGGCATCTGTGAAAACAAAATACTGGCATTGCTGTTTCATGTCACACACAACTGGGACCATGAGACCGGGAACATCTGCTGCTCTGGGTTTACCTTGAATAATTCATTAGTATGTAAATATCTCCATTAGGTATATATGAATTAGGTAGGTAGAAATGAGGCAGCTCCAGAAATGGAAACTACACTAACATGATAATCCACCTATGCTTGTTTATACTGCTCCGAGAATTTAGATATACACAGCTGTGTGGAGATACCCATACTATTATGCAGACATATCAACAGTATAATTTTCTCTGCAGGGCAAGAAAATTCTTGCAGAACAGGTAAAATTTTAAGGCTCCCTAGCTGAGTGACAATTATAAAGAAGTAAAATAAAACTCTTGTGAGAGAGCTTCTTCTACAATAAAGATATTGGCAAGAAAAGAGGGCACCACTTTCACAGCATTCCTTGAAGACTCCTTGATAAAAAACAACTGGCTTTTCAACTGACAGTAATGAACCAACATATACATATCTCATAAGAAATGTAATCAAATCAAGTTTCAGAAGACTAGCACCCTCTTTTCTGCTATTATTTGAAAGTCAGAACAAAGATGCAACAAGGAAACAGTGGTTTGCTCTGGAAAGTCTCCACAAACTCCTTTCACATAGAAGTTTAAAATCCTGGAGACAGTCATTAGATGTTTCTTTGAAGAGTGGTTCTAAAAATTATATTCTAATTGTTCCCTATGTGTTCTCTTTGCATGATTTAGATATATTAATTTAGTTTGATTCAACCCCCTTCAAATAACATCCACCACAGAAAAAAATAAATGAACATATTTTTTCACTTTTACCAAAAAAAAGTATCATTATATTGAATATTTGTCCTTCTATACTACCACTATATTACATGTATTTTCATGGTAGACAACTGCTGTATGTTTATTTCTCTTCATTTATATTATTTTCTGTAAAATGAGATTTAATATATAACATCTAACCAGTGAGAAAAGGAGGCTCAAGAGAGATCTTATTACTCCCTACAACTACCTGAAAGGAGGTTGTAGCAAGGTGGGGGTCGGTCTCTGAAGTAACAAGTGATAGGACAGGAGGAAATGGCCTCAAGTTGTGGCAGGGGAGGTTTAGATTTAAATTAGGAAAAATTTCATCACAGTAAGGGTTGTCAAGCATTGTAACATGCTACCTAGGAAAGGGGTTAAGTCACCATCCCGGGAGGCATTGAAAAGATGTGCAGATGTGGCATTTACAGACATGGTTTAGTGGTGGACTTGGCAGCGCTGGGTTAATAGTTGGACTCGATGATTTTAAAGGTCTTTTTCAACTTAAAAGATTCTGTGATTCTATTCCATGTTTTAAAGAAAACTTTCGCAAAACAAACAAGATGCTTTATTTCTGAACAATACCACTTTAATTTTATGTTTTATGTTCATCTGTTTTCATACAGAACAATTAACTATTGTACATCGACATTTGTAAGTTAACATATAATATTTAAATACTTAATTTCTACCACATTAATCTCAAGGAATCTCTGATGTAGTCATAGAATAGTCATTAAATCTCAGCTGTAGCACAGTTATATTCAGTAATCTCCTTTTCCACACAAAGAATTAGAGCGAGAACAAGCTAACACCCAACCAGACCAACTTTAACCGCATTGGTAGTATGATAACACTTCTAGAAATACCTTTTTTCCCCCCTCTTACGCGTCAGCATATACAGTACAGAGCAGATCTAATGAAGATCTTTCCATGTTTGACCACCTGAGTAAATGAACCAAGCCAGGGACCTAAGGATATGAAATAACCAATTCAGCAGTGCCTGATAATTCTCTCAAAGGAATCCAAAAATTTTTGCACAGCGGCAGAAGGATGATTTTAGGTTCATCTAAACTTGTTAGGTTTCCATGAGAAGAACTAAAGGAGATGTTAAGATAAATTCTCAACTTCGTATTCATCAGAAGTAAAACACGAGGATATAAACCACTTTATTATGTTAATATTTATAGCCTTGTGGTAAAAAGAACCTTAGCAAGGTGGTAAAAAAAGTATATATTCTTTAGATCAATTAGATGCTTAAAGTACAGAATGCTATGTCAGTGTAAAAATAACGTCAATGGTACTGCAAAATAAAAGATGTGCTTAAATGCAACACTTATTTGTCAGAAACCATCTGCTTTTTCTTTCATTTTTTTTCAGATTTTGATCTGTAAGAAACCACATCAGTATCAAATGTCACTTAGTTCTTATTCAAACAGAGCAGTCCAGACACAGCGGCTGCACCAGCTGACTTAGCTGACCTGGGCCTAGAGTAACAACAAACCCCTATAAATCACCAGATGTAAGCAATTGAATAGTGATCAATTTAATTAACTGAACATCCTTCCAAAATTTACTGTATTGTTTTAACCCTTCAGGCTTCTTCAAGCAAGGTAACTTGCAATTTGTATTCAAGGACAGGATTTGGCCAGAGGGCTATATATTGACAGCTTTAGACACTTTAGATTCTCATTGATAAAACGCAAATCACACACATGAAAAACACTTCTTTTCTTTTTTTTATAATTAACAGTATGATAGTAACTATTTTTCTACAAGTTCATATTGAAACTAGATCACAGAGAAAAACAAACAACTAATTTCAAGTGAAAACTTCAGGATTAAGATTTCCTTTAAAATCAACTTTTTTGGTTACAGGCCCTATATGCCTTTTGTAACTTTATACTCGTATTACAAATGTTACTATGTCAACTGACCTACTCATTTCTTTCAAATAAACAATGAACATGGACACAATTGTGTGCCACAATTATATGTATTAACTGCAGCCATAAAAAAAAACATGCCACACATTAAAATGGGCTCAGAAAGACATTTTCGAGACATTGGCAAAACATCTTCTAACCTAGATAGTTGTCCTGAAGCTGTCTCGAGGGGATTTCCCTGTGCTGCCCACTGAAATTAATGGAATTCTACCATGATTTAACACACGAGGATCTCAGCCAAGATGCATAATGATAGAGTATAACTCTTGTTTTAAAGAGTGCATTGTACAAGTTTGTATAACGATTACTGATGTTTGTACAGTGCCTAGTGCAACAGGACTGAGGCTTCTGGGCACTACCACAACATAAATTAATTCTAATGCAGTCTTTGTATCTGAGAGAAGCACAAAAACTACCAGGATTAAGCTCAATTATACACATTTTAAACAACCTGCTAAATAATATGATATAATCAACTTCCTAACCGCAAGCTGCTCTATTTCCAATTATTTCACTTTAATCTCTGTAATGCACGAATTTCTATGAACTTTGCAGAGTTAGTTCCACTAACCAGGGACAAGAGTAAGATCTACTTACAAAGACAGAAGAGTTATATTTGCAGAGACTGGTCCCAGATCTGGAATGATCTCCAGTTCATTGTAGTTCAGCTTCCTATTAATATTACAAAAGGGTTAGCTTTAATGTTAATCAAAAGTATGTACATTGAATTTGCTAAATTGCTGAACTGTGTCACCTCAAAATTAAAAATAATTCCAGTTTCACTTAATATAAAATATCAGAAGAGCAAACATCTTTGTTGTTTAACCAACTATCCCTAGAGAAATAGCTATACAATTAGCATACACAAATAGAGGTTAGGTATTTTTGGTTGGAGTTTTTTGTTTTGGTTTGGTTTTTAATTAAGACAAATTAACTTACACTTCCTGAAGACTATGAAGGTGATCCAAGAGACTGGTCTTGATTGAAGATAATTTGTTGTGACTTAAGTCCCTATGAGGTTACAAAAACAAACAGCCTGTCAGTTTTGCCATACAATATCGGGTAAAGCAATACTATTTCAATCCAAATAATATTATCACTTGTCTACAAGTACGTAACACGATATTTTTATATTAGTAAAATCAGAATAGAAACTTGTTTGAGTATACACGGCATAAGTAAGTGCAAATACTTATTGCCAGCAGTGTCAAAGAAATTTCTCTATCTCTGAACAATTTAGAACTGTTCATTGGAATGTAAGACCCATGAAAAACATCTTAAGATTCTGAGTCATATACACTGACAACCCCCCTCCTGCATCCCTTCACAACAAGAGGTCTGGCTAAAACAACCTCTTTGTTGTTTGAACAAGGAAAATTCATAAACCAATAGTCATTGCAGCCTTATTCCTTCGGCTAATCATAACATTTGTACCATTTACTCTTCTCACTCCCTTATTTACAGCAACAGACAGATCACAAATACATAATGAGGACTATCCATAAATCTAAACTGTACTTTCGTGCTTTCACACAATTCAGGACACCATTTCTACAAAACCAAATTTAATGGAGATCTTCAGTAGTATCAGAAGAAAACAGACATAGGAAGAGCCAGTTCTGAGTTTTAAGATGTCTATATAATAGTGATATTATTACCACACTTAACTACACTTGAAGAAGCAGCTCAAGCACTTAGCTTGTGCCACTTTGTATTGAAGATTCCAAATATCTTTTGATGCAATTCATAAAAAAATCTTGTTAGTACCTTTGCAATGTGCTGCAAAACAAGCCAGGTACTAAAAATGAAACGCATTTTGTTTACCACTGCCAAGAAATGCTTTTCCTTACATTATCATGCATATTTGCCATATGCGCTCTCAAACATTTGACACCACACAATAGAGACTTAAGAAATTTTTACTCAGAAGTACTGGAAATATCAAAGAAATATGAGGGATCACACAGTAAAACACAGACCCAACTACAGAACAAACTTGCACGTCTATAAACACCTGCACAAGCAGTACAGTCTCACAACTGATCTAACCAAGACCAGCTCTGTTGAAGGCCTCCCCCTTCTCAGTCACTCATCCACCAAAACATGCACTTCCCTGTCCCCTTACTACAGACTGTCACTACCTCATCTCTATCACTCCAGCCCTCTGCAAGCATTTCTTGCATGTTAAAACACTGCATTTATCCAAGCCAGTAAACAAAAACTACATTATTTTTAAGGAATTCTTAAACTCCAGTGAGCGTTGTAATGCAGGCATATAAAGAAATGAATCACCACACCTCAGCAGTGAATGGGTAAAAGGTGCTTTAAAAAGAAGTCTTTTAAAAAAGAAGTTTCTCACATTTCATGACACTTTTCTCTGTGCTAATTAAGCACTCAACAGTCATCCAACATGCCTGGGGTTCTCATCAAGCCGCACAGGCATGAAGTGTATTTCAAGTTGAATCTATGAGTAAACTACAGGATTCCTTACTTTTTCCAAGCAAGATGACTCAGTACAGTCATCTGTACTGAGCATGCCAAACACAGGCCTGACTGCCATGGATGTGTCTACTCTCCCTCTACAGTTCTGGAAGTGAAGAAACCTGATGAACAGCATATCCTTGATGCACACAGACCAAAACTAGCTTAAATTAAGCCAAGTTCAATGTCTCTTCTAGGTGTTCCGCTCTGTGACTAAGTCCTACACGACTGCAGACCCAGAAAACTCATTTCTCTGCACCCACCATTGCATATCCTGAAACACAGCTGCAACCCAGCCAGGCACGTACATTTCTTCAACAGCACATATGGATAGTAAAACTGTGTTTTAGTCTCCCCCACCTGATTTGTTCAGCATTGCCAGGATAGATTTGTCACTTTTGTCCTCCCCTGCAGTTGGTGGTTAGAAAAACAGTAGTAATAAAACTCAAATATAAAAAATAATCCCAGGCACGTATGGGTATTAAGAGTGTACCACCAATACTCAGTTACGAGGTGTGCTCTGAGCCAGCCAACTGCACCAGGCCTAGTGGGCTGCTGAGCTGTGGCACCAGCCGTGGCTCAGGGCCGTGGGCAGAGACAAAAAACATGCTGCATTTCCCAAACCAGGGCTGCACAGGAGTGTGCATAGGGCAGACCCGCAGGTGCAAACAGCATTTTCCTGCACAAAAAAATGAGGCTGAAGGCTGGAGGAGAGCCACCTAGAGAAAGAGAACATCCTCCACCACCTTCAGGTGGCCACAGAGGGGATCTTTTCAAAGACTCAGTTCTGGACTCAAGCACCTAATATAAAATCTGTGCCTTCTTCCAGGTGTCTAAATCCCTACAGATTTTCCTCTTAAGGATGGAAAACCAATACAGTGTCAACATTTCCTAAAACCCACAAATGTTAACTTCACCATTATGATTTTGAGTTCTCCTGTAAATTAGGTTAACCGCACTTAAGCTAGAGGACTGCATCTTTCACTGCTTAACAATCTAGTGTAAACATTCTCCTAGCCATAGAATGGAGAAAAATCCCTTTGTTTAACATCTGAAGGCATTAACTGCACAGATTTGAAATTCTCATACTGCATTTTTAAGTGTAAATACTGAAAAAATATGCTGTTACAAAGATCTATACGGGAATCTAACTTAGTTCTTTAAAGCAGAGTAGAGACAAATTTTACCCTTAAACTTAATTCAATATTTGGCTTTAATCTGTAGGGATTATAAGAACTATGTGAATAAGGAGATGAAATTCAGTTAAGTTATGGCTGTTAGTGCCCAATATGTTACTGTTCTTCATGCTTCAGACAAGCCTTAAGAATCAGTAATTATTTCAACAAAGACCTTTCAACATTAGTGCTAAAAACCTGCTTTCTTCATTTCATCTAAAAACCCTGCAAAAGGTTTATTTAAAGCATGTTTGCCTAAAGGACCTACCAGACAGTAACAGACGTGAGTAGATTTGTTCTGCTGGAGTTATAACATGTTAAAAAAAAAAAAAAATCTGGCAGAGTCCTTAAACTATAAAAATCCTGCAATTACAACCACTGCTGTGCATGATCACCACACTGGAGCCAGACACTTTCACTCATAGCTCAAGCTCACATCCATCTGGAGTCTATCAAGGAGTGTAACTTACACTGTTTCAAACTACTTTTTTTGTGTTTGTTTTTTTAACACTAAAGATACATTCACATTTTCCAAGTAGCATCTACTTTAAAAAAATACATACATACAAATTCTTCATGCCTGGTTTACTTACAGCAGGTTGTCAAATACGAGTTGCAAAAAAAAAAATTTTGAAGAAAAAGAACAACAAAAAACCACCAGCCCTCCAGACAATATTGAACTGCCTGTTTCATAAAGCTGTATACATGCTTGTCCACCCATAGTTGGATAGAATATGAATTATCAATATTTTACTAAACATTATTTTAGTACTACTGGCATGAGAAACTTCTGGAAAAGAAAAAAGCTTTGCAAGTCACATTTTAAGTTAAATCAGAGTGGCTGGAAGTGAACCAAGAGTTAAAATATTTGCCTTTTACTAACGTTCTAAGTGAAGCTTAAGCCTGCAGAAGTTTCTCAAACTTATAAGCACTGGACTGGAGACAGACATTTTTTAAATATAAAAATCTATCATCTCTGTTGCAAAGCTACAAGTACATTTCAGTTCAATGCATTTCTCAACATATCTTAAAACAAGTAGGAAGAAAAAGTTGGAAAATTAAGCAGTATTTTTCCTTCATAGAAATGGAACTGACAATGTTAAAACACTATTACTATGTCTTTTTTCCATTTCTAAATTTTCCTTGTCTGTTAAAATCACATTACAAGTGGGGAGAAAATTTCCTCTGTGATTACTTTTGCTACTAGAATTTCAGAAGTCATTAAAGATATAAAGAATGCACTCTGAAACTTTAGAAACCAGATTTATATTAAGAAATAATTTATAAAAATAATAAGCATATATACTTGTACTTCACTTCAGAGTTCTCATAAAAGTGATTGGACATTTAAGTAGAATTGCCCCAACTGAAAAAGCATGCCACAGTTTTGGAGGCCCTTTAAGAACCTGTCCTATGAAAGAAACTATTTTCTATGTTCCATTATGTTTGTATGACCATCTTTCATAAGTCACAAGTCTCAGCACTAGCTGAAATGTAACTCTGAACCACATTTGTTTGATCAAAAACTGAAAGGAAGGCCTAATGCAAAGAGGGAGAAAGAGAGCAAGTGCTTCTTCACACATTTTAGAGATATAACTTTTAGACTCTAACTTAGTATAAAACACTTAGTCACAATTATCATCTTCCTTAGAGAACTCAGAAACCTGAGCCCCAAGTCAAATTTTAAAATGCAAATCCAGCAACAGCTCCTTAATCAGTCCCACTGGGGCCTATAGAGCTGCTAATTCAGCAGAAATCAGCAGAGCTGAAAAACAAAAAGCCAGGCTGTAGCTGTTTTAAGACACTGATCCAAAGTGACTCATAAATCAGCCTGCTATGTTCAAGTTTTAGTCTGGAAAATATTGAAAAACAGCTGTGAAAACCATACGGCCTTTTTTCTGGCAGTTCTGGTAGACCACTAGAGGATTTATAAAATATAAATACTAAAGATGTAATATAAACACAAGTGAAAACCATCTTTCAGACTTTCCCTCCTATCCCACCAACAGTTTCAGCATTCCTCAGTGAACCTGGTGAAGGGTACAGCAATGCCAGCAGGAGTTTGCACACCTGGGAGACACTGGCCAATGCTCAACACTCTTCTTCCCCTCCATCCCTCCTCTTCCAGCTCTGCTACACCAGCTCTAACAAAGCCACATTCTTACAATCTTGGGACACACATCCTGGAATTAAATGTAAATCGAAATTCAAAACTATTTGTACACAAAGCCATTAAAAATGTTTATGAGTTTTCAGCAGACTGTTATCTCCCACGAAAGCAGGGTAATAGAATATGGTATTTTTGGTTAAAATCACAGTAAAGTTGGCCTGTTTACACCCCATTGTGAAGCCACTTCTGCACAAAGCAGTAGACTCATGATCAAAGAGAAGAGGACAGAACTCAGGGTCTATTTTTTTTATTTCCCTCCTTGCCCACTGTGAGGTCACTTTTATTTTATTTCAACAGGGGATCTGAACACAAAAGGCATGAAAGAATGAAACAAGAGTTTCAAAAACCTGCTAACCATCTGGGCAAGATGGTTAAGACAGATGGGCAAAGAAAGGTGTAAAGCATAACACAGGTCTAGACCTTCTCAGGCAGAAGAGCTTTCACTCTGCTGCTTAGGAGACCTCACCTGCGTATGTTGAGAACACGGGGTAATAGTTGTTTTCTCAAGAGGATTGGAAAGCCTGCAATTAAACTACTAGCCTTTGGCTATACCCGCTATGGACTTCCATGGAAAACACAGTAAACATATAGCAATAAAATTCATAAACAGTATTTTACAATTTGTAATGTTGCAACAATAATCTAGACTAGTCAAACTTTTTTGCATATGTAAAGATGAACGCGTTAACCTTACAGATTGCACAATCCCAGCTCGAAGTACTGGGGTAGCTGGAGGTAACAGGCAACGCCACACTCTTCCGTGTTCTTATTAAGAGGGGAAGGAAGAAAGCTGGATACTTCTAAGGCATTTGACACAATCAAAAGAAATATTTACACAAATGCGGTCAGACCACATGGTTTGGTGACACCTAAAAGATGTACTCCTGTGAGTTTAAAAGCAAGTGACACAGCTGTCCACTGAGTAATCACAGCAGGGTTTCTTACAGCAGGGTTTCTTACAACAGGCCAAAGCTTATTTATACAAGCAGAACTTATTTTCTCACACTTTTAAAGGAATGTGAACTTACATAAGGACAATTTACACTACCAAGGGAATTCTAATTAGAAAAATCTCCCTTGTGCTAACAAAAAAGCCTTGCAATGCATTTTATTGTCTCTTGAGAACATAAGTGGAAAAGACAAATTTCAATTACTGCTAATGCAAAATGTTTTTTAAGGCAAGTCTAAAAAACGAAAGTGTTGTTATTTTTCCCCTTGTTTTTTTATTTACCATACGTGGATTTTAACTTAATAGCACTAAAGTAAACTAAGCTAAGAAACTAAACTGTGAAGCTTAGCTTATTATCAAAAAAAGCCTTAGGTTGTGTCAGAAAGCTTGTGAGCATCCTGAAATAGTTCAAAAGAACAGGAGGATGAAATATAACAGGAAGCAAAACCAGTTGTTGAATGTAAAGCAGATCCAGTGTTTGATCCATAAGCTTCAATCACGTAAGCCAACCAAAAAAAAGTTTCTTTCCTCTCACACTTTCCTACGCCAGTCCTGGAAATATTCAACTCCCAGAGCCATGTCTGTGTTCAGTTCCATATGGTGTCAATACAGCCATCTACATTTCATGAGTAAAGCAGCATGACCTCCAGACAAGGCAATTGAACAGAATTAGCCACAACTAATTGAAAGTCTTCCTGTTTACTTTAAAGCCCTTATCTCAATCTGCTTTGAAAATGTAATCGAAAATTAATAGGACTAATATAGAAGATCATTCAGTGACAAGGGATTAAAAACAAATGTGACAAGTCCCTCAGCTATTTTCGGGCTTTTAGAAAGCTGACATAATTTATGCTTTTTCCATAAAAGTTTTTCAGTGGAAACAGATTTCCGCAGCTGTCACCTGGGTTGGGTCGCTCCGCGGCGCTGGCCGAGCGGGCGCGCTCCGGTGCGCGCACCATCGCTAGAGCCAAAACTACAGGGGCGAAGAGCTACACGAGGAAACGCGACAGCAACTTTCCCGACACACAAATCAGTGTTAGCCTGATGATTATTGAACGCTTTCCAAGAAAGTCAACAGAACTTTTTCCTCGCTCTCTCCGACACTGAACAGCGCTCCCGGGCCCCATTTCGCCCAGGCGCTTATCGCCACCGCGTCCCGGGACCGCAGCCCGCCCCAGGGTCGCTGTCCTGCTGCGGCCGCCGCCGCCCTCGCCGCGCCCGTTGACAGCCCGGCCGCGGCCCCCGGCGCTGCCCCTCCCGCACCTCGCGGCCGCCACGACACCGCGCAGCCTCTCAAAGCCCGTCCGCGGACCGGACCGCGGCCCCGGGGGGCAGAATATGGCGGTCGGACGGGCGCGGGCCGGCGCCTTCAGCCCCCCGCGGTGCCCGCCGCCCCGATACTCACAGCTGCACCGCCCCCCGCGGCAGCTGCTCGGGCAGCCGGCTCAGCTCCAGGCGGCTGCAAGCGACGAGGTGCCCGGCGCAGCGGCAGGGTGCGGGGCAGCGGGCGGAGGCGGCGCCGCCGCCCAGCAGCAGCAGCAGCAGCGCCGGGAGAGCGGCGGGCGCCCCGCGGGGCCGGCGGGGCATGGCGGGCTCAGAGCCGCTGCCCGCGCTCCCGTCTCTGGCGTTCCCCCACTGACAGAGCAGAGCGGGGCGCGGCGCGACCTCCTGCTTCTCAGTGCGGGTGGCTGCTCCCGCTCATACCCCGGAGTGGCCACCGAGGGCGGGAGGCGGTGGGAGCGGGGGGCGGTGTAGAAAAAAGTAAAGACAGAGAGCGGGACGGGACCGCAGCGCCGCCACCGCCGCCAGCCACTCTGCAAACTTTCCGCCGCCTCAGCCCGCCTCCGCGCGTCCGCGGGAGCCCCGAGCACCGCCCGCCCCGCCGCAGCCCCCTCCCCCTGCCATGTGACAGCCGTAGCCCCTGCCCGCTCTGCCGCGGCCGGGCCCCGCGGGGCGGGGGCTAGGAGAGCGAGTGCCAGGCCTGGACTGGCGTGGTGCCCCGCCGCTTCGCGGCCGTGGCAGCGGTACTCCCGGCCTCCCGGCCTGCCCCGGGCGGCGGCACATGGCCGGCCTCGCATCACGGCGGGCGCTACGGTGGGATCTTGCTGCTGTCCCCGGCCTGTCCGTGGGCGGGCGGGAGCGGGCAGCGGGCCCTGAGTGCTTAGAGCGGCAGCCGTGCACGGGCCGTGGTGAGAAGGCACGGGCACCGTGGTCTTCCTCGTTCGGGATTTCCCTTTGCCGTCGCGCCAGTTAGCGCATGTCGTGGTAATCCAAAAGCTGCTCCAGAGGCCCCAGAGGGTTCCCAGCCAAGCCTGGGGTCACTGGCATGTAAAAGGTGAGGTGAGGTTAACTCCTGCCTTCCGGGTCCTACATGGCTAGTCCAGACACCATAATTAAGCCCATTATGTTCCCCACAGGATCCCAGCTCCAAACGTTCAGGGAAGTGGGCAGGGCTACAGATTCCACATCTCTGAGGTAATCTATGTAATTTAAGTAAATACCTATTGTTCAAGTTCCATATGTAAGGCTGGACCCTACAATGGATTCAATTACTGTAGGCTTCACACACCCCTATTCCATAGCAGCAGCCATCAAACTGCTCATGGACACTGTTCTTTCCTTCCCAGGTTTGTATGTTTCACCTGAAAGATTGTAGACGTCTTAGACACTGTGAACCTGAACCCTTCAAAGTCTTACAGCTCTGATAGCAAGATCTGTAAGGCTGAAACTTTTTCCCTGTTTTTATTGTTTCCATGCGTATCTAAGGACACAGGGATTTTGTTAAAGAAACAAAACTACATTTCAGTCAGGAATCATGAATTTGCAAGCCAAGCAAGCAAGTCCTGAGTAACTATGAACATTCACATGCCACTCTTGACACAACTGTTCCGGGTGCATAGGATGTGCAGAGCTGTGCGGTGTTTTGTCAGCTTGTGCTCCGTTGACCACTGGTGTTCCTTAAGGAAATTATTGTGGGAAAACAAACAAATACTGAAGGAGCACACTTTTTTCCTACACTTTTTTTCTTTTTGCTATAAAAGCAAGCAAGTAAAGAAACAAAATACAGGATAAAAATTAATTAGTTTGTCTTTACAAATTCCTCTCATTTATTTGTTGTGAATGAAAACTGTCCTGGCAGCATTGACATGTCAATATTTCGATGTCTTTTGCAGCCTTCTTCCTTTGGAAAATATTAGGGTGACATTAGATCAACAAAGCCTGTGAAACACTGAACTATTCTAAACAGACAGTAGGACAGTGGTAAATTCAGATTTTTGAAGCTATCCCTCATTAGTCTGTACTTGTTCCCATCAAAGTCAATGGGAAAGCTTCCTTCTCTTTCTAAAGTTCTAGCTGTCCACGTGTTTCACACCATTACACCAAGGTACAGAGACACTTCAATATGTTTTTTTCATATTTAGGTAAGATATGCCATATTGCCACTTTTGCAAAGTGATCAAAAATTCAAGAGGAAGGTCTTCATGTTTATGTTGCTCTGGGTGATTATTGAACAATCTACTAAAATTAAAAAGGATTTCAGGTAACTAAGCCTTGTACTATGGTTCCTAGAGTGCACAGCAAAGGGCCTCAATTATCTGGGGAAAGTGAGCTTGTCTTATCTTGAGTTTGGCAAGGGCAGTGACTGACTAGTAGGTGTCAATAGAGTCATTAAGCTGCCCATTTTAACATCCAAGGAAAAGAAAAATTAGAAACAAAGTATTTTGAACTTATTTTATCATAGCAGTCAATAATATATGCAGTGCATATGTGAACCATGAAACAAGAGAATCTGAGAAACAAAGGTAGAAAAAAAAAAGATGAAAAGGGCAGGAACTTCTGGTTTTGTAATTTTGAAAACCACTCATGCAGGCAGGGAATACTGTGCCTTAGAAAAACCTAATGCATATTTAGTGCTAGTAATATATGAAGCTGTTTTAAATTAAGCAAGGTAAATAAATTCAGAAAATCCATTTGTCTTTGCAGCTTCTTCTCTCAAAATACTCAATAAAACATTTTTCAATTGATTATGTATTATGAATCCTAAAATGCTTATATGCTGCACTTCAGAGTTCATGACAGAAAGTCTTTCTTCCCACAGGGAAATTTGCTCTCTTCAGAAGTCTCAGGGACTGATTCTGCATCTCATATGAACACTGTAAGGGCTGGCAGTCCCCAATCCCAGGGGTCTCTTTATCATTGGTTTTAGGTTGAGAGTGCACTGTGACTGTACATAAGCAAATACAAATCCTTCCTTCACAGGTTTGGCTAGCCTATACCTGTCCTAAGTAAGCTTATATCTAAATGAAAGGTCTCCCATTCCTCTACCTGGTTATCTCCACTCTAGCAAGGGATGTCTGCCGACCCTTGTTTGGCATTAGCATTAGTGTAAATGCACATTCAACAGTTTTAGGGGACTGATTTGACTGAACTCCCTTAAAAAATAAAAACACTCTGCGCACGCACACACACAGACACTTTAATTCTGAGTTGGAGTAATTTCCTCATCCTCCAGTTTTCCATGTAGCTGCACAAGGAAGGTGGTTATGCAAAGGCAGGCCCTTTCCATGGCAGCCTGAAGGGATGATGTTGAGGAGGGGGAAGCATGGCTGCACAGAAAAATTCTTGTAAAACTAGACCCTCAAGCTCTCTCTTTGGCTAACAAGATTAATTTCCTCCACAAGATTACCAAGCATAGTAGTCTGGGTGAGTTGGGAGTGGAGCAAAGGAGGTTGTGTAGAGATCTGTAGACCATTCTTTGGGATGTTAGGGCTTGATTCTAATGGTATCATTTTCAGTCTCTGATTATTTTAAATCAGATAAACACAGGTTTATGGATTCAAGTCCAAACATATGCTGTTTAAAATATGTATTCACTTCAGGCAAAAGACACACCCAGAAGCAATCTAAGTATGATTTTTTTGCATATCATTAACGCACTGAAATCAGGGACTGCTTTCAAGTAACCTACCTCCAGAAAAGTTCAACCCTAAATCAGACTCAGTTTAGCAGATTATTAAAAATAATTTACCAATTGCTAAGTTAAGCAAAACCAAATTAAGATACTATACATTTTCTGAGTTTAAATTAGAATATCTTTTATAACACAAGTAAGAATTTGATTAATCTAAATACAGTTTTTTATTCAGTTTTTAAAGGAGTCTCAAGCCACTACATCAGACAATTATGTATTGCTGTATGTACTTATAGCTAAATCTGCAGAATTTATGTCAGAAGGTCAAAAGGAATGAACAGTTACATTTACTAAATGATTTTGTCCATTAAGGCCACTTCAGGAATTAAAAGTCTTCCGTTGTACTCCTGGATCATGTCGTAATCCAATTCTATGTCTAGTATTCATTTTGGATTTTCTACTTTTCATGGGTAAATAAAGTCATTTTGTTAGTATTCAGCAGCAAAAAGCAGAAGCAAAGGAGTATAACATTGCTTATACTCTGACACATCTTGGTTCTGATAGAGCGATGTAGAAAATAGTGGCCCATTTATTGGCTTTCCTACCAGTAAATGATCTTGTAGGAGTATTGGCAGAATTAACATCCTGTCTATTTATTCCTAAACTTTCACAGTTCCATTTTGTTTCTAGTCAAAGAAGATGTTTAAGGCTGTCTGGGAGAAGGAAATGAAGAGGTCATCCTCTCAAGATCATCACTCCCTATTGCAAGTTCTCCAATATAGTCCAGTAAAAAAAAAATCTTAACACTAGCAAAACTTCTTACTAAAGCCACAGCTGGAGGGAGAGATGAACTAGTGAGACACATCCTGCTTAAAAAACAAAAGTGTAGCAGGACATGCTTTTTGTGGAGGCTGCTTGCATACATTAAATAACCTGCAATAGGCAAAAGGAAGTTTTGCCTCAGGCACCTGTCTGGAAGTTACTAGAGAGTCCCACAAAAACTCCTTATTGAATGCAGAAGACTCTCTTCACTTCTTTGCTTTGTGCGTAAAGAACAATCTCATCCAATATCATGGAATATTTTTCATGGAAATTACTCTAAATGCAGAGCTTTCCCACCCTCCTTTTCTTCTGCCCATTTGGTATGGCAATTGATATTAATTTTAATTTTAATTTATAATAGCACTAAGACTTCATGACCATTTATTTCAATCCCTGTGATTAACAATTGCAATTTCACTTGTATTTGAGTAAAACAATAAAATATTCTTAAATAATTTCCCAGTAATTGTGAATCTCCTACCAATGTGTTGTAAGTCCATAGTGAATATTCCAAGGTGCATACAGAAATTTATTTTTGGTAGTAATTATACTTGACTTTATGTGATCCAACAGTGAAACCATGAAAACCAAATTATGCATAATTGAATGCACTGATTACAAACAGAAAAACCATATGAACTCTTTCTGAAAACTTTGCCTAGGGCAGAATATGTTCAGCTTTTATAGAATTCATCCAAACAGTGAGTGTTTGCCTCCATTACAAATAAACTTAAAACATCCTAAGGCAGTCCACATTAGTGAAGATTGTTAATGTTTTCAAGTCATGTCCTGCTGGGGCTAAGTGGGAAGTTAGTGCATGATTGCAAGGACAATTAAACAGTCAACATCTACAATGATGTAACTTCAAAGAGGGAAAAAGAAGACTTAGTTTTATGTCATTAAGGAACACTCAAATTGAAATGTTGTCAATTTGAATAAAAATAAGTAGATGTAATGTCAGGATGGTGCTACTGTAATAAAACACCTGACAGGTCTGTTCTACCCGTTCTTTTAGTTTGTTGGGGGGTTTTAAATAAGCAAACGTTTTGTGGTAAGAAAGATCAAGAAGTAGCCAAAAAGGGAATCTGAAAGATGTGCTCTGTCGAACCTAGCAGTGGCTCTCCCAGACAGTAAAGTCTTCAGTGTTCCCCTCCTCCACTTCCTTGGGGTGGGGGTTATGGTACTGTTAAACTCAAACATATGTTCCTTTCTGCAACGGGGATCGAAATTTCTACCAGAGGAGAAAGTGCTTGAAGGTTGTTATCTGCTTAAATAGTCAAAGGCCAATTTGGTAAGATTTTTGTCAATGTTTTGCGGCCCCCATTGCGGCCCCCATGTTAAGTATTCACCACATTTAGGTGTGTAACTCATTGAAGTCAACTTCTTAAAGAATCTCACAGTGAGAAATCAATGGGAGTCAGGCCTTAAATCTTTGAGGAATTTATTGTCTGATTGTCTGTTCCAGGGGGAGAATGAGCTGCAGCTGGGACTCATCTTGTGTAATTTTAGCAATTTGGAAGTTTGATATCTATTCTAAAGCAGTTGTCTTGGCTTCTTCTGTAGTCAGTGGAGAAAGAAACATCCAAGGAGTGATTACTACCTTTCTAAAGTAGGCAATCAAAGCATTTAGAATGAATCAGTCTCTGGATGATTTTCTCCTTCTTGGTTGACTAGAAAGAGCCTTTTGACTAGTTTAGGCTAGACCCTGGATTTCCAGATGATTCTCAATCTGTGCCTTCAAATATACATATTAAATAAATTAATAGAAAAATATAGAAGCGTGTTTCTAAAATTTTTTTCTATCATAGGTGCCTTAAATATCACTGCAAAGTTTATCATAAATATAAATTGTAGTTTTTAATTTTATTATAGCCCTGTTATAGTTTGCTTTGTTTTCTGCTGATGTAACAAGTTCTACTAAGGATTTATTAACAAATTAAATCTTACAAGATTCAGTAAAACAAAGGGGAAATGTGAGTGCTATGCATAAGTATCAGGTACAAATACAAAATGAGGACCATGTGGAGAAAGATCTAGTAATGCATCACAGACTAAATATGCGTCAACAATGAAACATCATAGAAGGCATTTTCAGGTATACCAGTTGGAGTCTTCTACGTAAGAGAAAGAAATAATGTTCTGGTGAGCGCAGAGATGAAGTATTATATCCCATTTGGGGGTCAGATATGAAAGGAAGGAGTGGAGAGAGCTACAGAAAGTTGGTAGCAAGCTCAGGAGGACAGTTTCCAGCTCTCACAAAATGAACACCTAATGTCGCAACACAGCAAGCAACACTTGAGATTTTGCACCAAGCTATCCCATTGCCATCATTAGGAAACCAGTGAGTCATAGTAGACTGTAGTGTCGTCTGGACTTGCCCCCCCGCTTCTGCTGTCTGCTGCCTCTTGCTTTCCTAATTATTATATGAAACAAAATAAACAAGCACTATCCCAGTAAGAAGTTGGCCAAACACACGTTGCACCACTTCCAGAGCTGCTCGAGTGGTTACTTGCAATAGCTATGTTTGCCAATAAAGTCTGACTTTCCAAGCGGGAGTATCAAAGGAGCAGGCTGGATCCGACAGCAGCAAATACAGCGTGCAGATCTGGATGGGCTGTGTGCCAGCTACAGCCCAGCAGGAGTTGCAAGCAACACCAGCCCTGTGCACCAGCTGGCCAGACTGATGAACAATGGTCTGCAACACACTCTTTGCTTTGATCTTGTTAGTATGGAATCAGGAGAAACTGCAAGGGATACTGGTATGAATCCTGTTCACGGCTCTGACACTTTTGGGGAACCTTATCCAAGCAAAACTTTCTGTGGCCTCTTTTACATCTCTGACATTCAGGCAACACGGTATGGGAAGTCTCTGAAACACAGATGTCACCTTCCAAATAGCCCTGTTAGCTGCCACTGGGAAGCTGAGGTTTGTCCATTTCCTAATGGTCATGGCACTTCTTTTGACCGTCAGTAACTTTTTCAAGTGGGTTTTCTGATAAGTTAAGCTTTCCACAGCACGCATTTCCACGATGTTGTCAGTTGTGAAGTTTTTCCTTTGTTGTTTTCCCTCCTAAGTTTGAAGCCTAGTCTTCTCCTCTTAGTCATTTCTCCCTTTCACCAGCCTCTCCAATCTATCAAAGGAAATAGTCAGCAGTGCAGAGTTGCACATGTTGACTCTTGAAATACTTTCCTGGTTGTGTGCTGTCATCTCCAAACAAGAAACTTCTGGTTCAGGGACTCTCCTTGCAGTTGTATTCTCTGTTGCTGCTCAGCTTATGAGGAGGAAATAAATAGGATAAAAGACTGCAATGCATTAGCATTGCTACAAGGCAAATAGCTCAGTGTACAATTCTCTTCAGAGTGTACTGACCTCAGCATTAGAAAAAGCAACTTTCTGGAGAGACATCAACAAGAATGTCAACATCCTACCACATCCTAGGTGGATAAGAAGACACAGTGCCACAGTGTGGGGTATTACATGTCTTGGCCCACATGTACAGTGTCAAAATCAAAGCGGTACTACCACATGCATGATCAGGCTGGGCTCAAGTTTGGAAGTGGTGATTAAGAAACCATAGCTTTCACTGAATTGCAGACACTCAATAATTGAGTTATCTTTTGAGTGACATAATAAACAAAGTCTCTGTAAGGTTGGCTAAGCTAATGCTACAGTAGAAATTTCCCAGTTTTGGTGGGGGGGGGAGAAAAAAAAGAAGCTAAAAACTAAAGTAAACAGGAAGAGATTTGCTGATCATTTTACACTTTGGGAAAATTACATCTTATTTTAATCGTAATGAAAAAAAATCACCACAAATACACCACATTATCCATACTAATATTTTTTGTTCTGAATTTTTGTTAGGAAAAACTGCTAATGATAAACACAAAATTACTTTTCTAGAATTTTGATAAAATCATACATGCCCTTACCGAGTACCACATGTAAGTAATATTTCAGTTATCCCACTGATGTCACTGAGATGGAATTAAAAGTGCTGAAATCTTCAGTGATGGATATTTCACTGCAGCTGTGAGCAATATGTGCCTCAGAGACTGTAATTCTCCTGGGCAATATTAAACCCATGGACTTGCATCTTATTAGTAAAATAATACTATTTAAAAATAGTATCAAAAGAAATCTAGCCAAGAAATTTAGCCTTGTGTATATTTCAGTTCATATATAATTTAATCTCATAAATTTTAAATAAATGTGCTTTTTACACATGACTGCATTTCATATAAAGTAAACCATAAAGTATGTTAAAATAAGATCAACAAGAAGAGAGCAGTGTTAAAACTAAAACCATAATCTCCTACATGACTTTTGAAAATATGGCACTGTCTAATAAATGGCAACAGACAAATATGAGGTAGTAGATATTTTTTTAAAATTTTTAAGTGTAGCTGCCTGACTTCTGCATTTTAGATCTCTTAAACTTACTCTTATGCTTTCCAAATACTTCATTCTCTAATTTAATTTTCCTAAACAGATGTTTTAAAATTAAGTTTATAATTAATTATAATATATGTAAGAGCAGTTCACAGAATTGAATAATTCTACCGAAGAAGCTACTACTGACTACTTTGCAAATGCAAACAATGCTTTGCTGTAATCATCTTTATTTAGTAGCATACACTGAACTCCAGAGCTGAAACAGACTATTGTGACATTACCTGATTTAGAAGAGCACTTGAGCATGTATTTCAGAAGGAGGTTTGGACACAGAACAGAAAGCCCAGAAGGATGAATGGTGAGAACCCTTACTGACCAAGACCCCTTCATGAACGAGGGTCTGAGTGTGCGACCTGTGACAAAGCTGACCTGACTGCAGTCAGTGAGGAAAGTCATTATAGCTGTGAGAATTCTGAGCCTGTTTCCCTAAGCTGTCTCCAGCACTACTCCTTCAGCACATCAGCTGTGCCTGAATAGTGTTTTGTCTGTGGCCTGAGGACCTTTCTGTACCCATGGACAATTTTTCAAGTGGGGAGGATGAGGTAGTGTAGAGCAGACAGAATATCCCTGTGAACAGTTCCTCACACCATTTTTTCAAGCAGCCCAGATTTTCCCACCTAGCACACTGCCTGCTCAGACCTGCCCCAACCACCCTGTCCACGGTGTGAGCACAGCTGCTTGTGGTGCCTTAGAGGAAGCTAGGTCATTACTTTTTTGTTGGAGTTATTTTTAACCTGACTCTGTTCATTTGTTTGGTTTGTCATTTGACCCCATAAATGATGCCAGGTGCCATAATATGAACCGGGAAACAAGTGGCAAGGCATTAAGGGTCCTGGGTGCACCTCAAGTGGTTGTTACCACTGAAAAGAGCATTTCAAATTCATTGTGGCCTGAAGAATCTCATTTAATGTGGTGGTAAATGCAGTCTTTGGGCGCCAA